CAGCCTCTCCAGGTGACACACTGGGACACGTATGTGCAAGCCTCAGTCTGTGCGTGGCTCTGCGAGTGGACGTGACGCCACGTGGAGCGCCACACCGTGCCCGTTCGCTGGCACATCACCATGTGTCTTGGTGTGCAGCCTGCCTGCCGGTGCCATTAGCCCGCACCCACCGCTCCTCCCAGGCATGCAAAATGTTTCTGCATCCCCAAATCAGGCTTTTTACACTGAAAAATAACCAGGAAAGCGAAGTTCCATCTTGCTCTCCCCTCTCCACCAGCACCACCCAGCCCCCCTCCCAGTGCCCAGCGCAGCAGGGCCGTACCAGAGGGTCCGAGTCCAGGGAGCTGGGCGTCGTGTCTTTGACGGTGCGCTCCTCAGGAGGGGAAACGGTGCTGTGGGGCCCGATGGTGGGTGGGGGCAGGTGGTAGAGCTTGGACTGATCCTGCTGCGCTGACGGCCAGGGCAGGGTGTCCCGCACCCACTCCACGGGGTCCTCCCAGGCTGCCTTCTGCCCATGGACCTGCAGGCAGTGGCAGCTGCCTCTTCAGCACGTGCCAGAACCAGCAACGCCGCACTCTGAGCCCCCCAGGACAGTGCTATGTCCCACTGCAGCCACAGGGCAGAGCAGGGACTGACAGAGATGCCACCTGTGCCCAAAATCCCAGCACTTCCCCTCTCCCTACCCCGTTAGACTGCTGCATCAGCACGTCCCCAAGCACTGCTGGTTTGTGTCCCCCCATGCCAGGCAGCTCTGGGTACCTTGAGCCCATCTTTTGCCCCCTCCTGCAGGTAAGGGATGATGGAGTTGTTCCACAGGTCGATGAACCAGGTCCGGAAATCCTCAATTCCAATGGGGCAGGACAGGAAGAAGCAGGGACCTGTCGGGGGAAGGCAGAGAGCAAAAATGGGAGCAGAGTCCTCCTGCCCCAGTCACTGGCTCCCCAAGGGTGCCCTGGGCTCGACCACCTCCTGGGAGCAGTGTCCAGGCAGCGTCTGCCTGATACACATGGGCAGAAAGAAAGGTCCCTGGCAAGGAATGGGGTTGCCAAGTTCAAGCTACCCCCCAAAAGCATGGTGAGGCAACGGGAGACCTGCCCGGGAAAACACAGCTCCTCTATGCCCAAGGAAGGGTGCCAATGAGACCGGCAGCCTTGGCTGACACCACGGTGACAGCTCCCATGGGCCACGGACACAAATGCCACCCAGGGAAGAGCAACACTTGTGTGCATTGCCCAGCGGCTTTTGGTTGCGTGGGACTGGGGGACACAGCGCAGCATCTCAGCTCCCCGGGCTCCTCTCGGGGGCGGATTTTGCCCCAGACCCTGGGGGCTCCCAGCAGTGCAAGGTAGAGGAGGGAGGTGTGTGACAAGGCCATACCGATGAGGAAGTCAGAGGTGCTGTGTTTCTCCAGGAAGGTGTGCAAGTGGTACCAGAGCTTGGGCACCCAGTCCAGCACACGCAGCAGCTCTTCCTTGTTGGCATTGACGTCTGTGTCCGACTCCAGCAGCTTCCGCCGCAGGTAGCGCACCAGGAAGCCGTTGGCCGGCTCCACGTTGTTCGAGAAGGTCAGCATCCTGGGGGAAAGACTCCAGCGTTCAGGGCTGGGTCTCCACACAACCCCAGCACCCTCCTAGCACCCCCACACTGCATGTGCTCAAGGTTGGGGCATCGTGTCCTCCTGGGATGGCTGGGACAGCCCTGGGGCTTGGTCCTCATCAGGGTCCCCAATCAGGATGTGTCCCCAGGACTGCCAAGGGGCAGGAGTGATGGCCTCTGTGCCCACCCCTCCAAACCCCACAGGGATGGTCCCCAGTGATGTGCGATTCCTACCTGAAGCTGAGATGGAGACCATGGTTTGGGGTCATCTTCACAGGCTGGTTGGTGGTCCCAATGATGTAGGGGCTGAGGGAGCGACAGAGAGAGGCAGGGTCCATGAGAAAAATCACCCTGCATCAGCCCTGCCCATGGTAGAGCTGATCTGAGCACAGCGGACACATGCAGCCATGCAGCCTCATCTCCACGAGCCCAGGGATCTTGCAGGGAGCAGCGGGGAGCTGTGCTGGGAGCCTGCACCGGAGGAGGGCGCAGCGGAGCTCTCACCATTTGTGGTACTTGCAGGTGAGCGCGCCGTTGACGAGCTCGCTGATGGAGCCCGCCTCGCTGAGGTCGTCCAGGAGGATCACCAGCGGCACGTCCGCCGTGCCCGTCTCCCGGTCGATCTGGTTAGCCAGGTTGGAGAGGTACAGCTGCAGGTCCTGCAATGAATGGGCCAGGTGTCACACGTGGGGCCGGGCCACGGCTGCCAACGGGGACCACGGCACCAG